AGTTCTATAACGGGAAAATCAGGTCATTAGATCAAAAGTTATTCAGGGTGGTCCGCTTTTCCTTTTGTGCACTGAACAAGAATTTTTTAATGGCTCTTTTTAATTTCCAAATTAAATTTAGAAGCTTTAATATATGTTTGAAAAATTTCAGATTATAAAATATCTGAGAAATTATTATTAAACTTTAATAACTGTTCAATTTGAAATACCTGACGAAAATAGCTATTTATATAAATTGAGGGATATTATTGATATATAAACGTTTTATAGATTAAGGATTATATTGAGAGAGATATCATTGATTGACGCGTTTCCACAATTAAATAATCCACAATCATCTTTCTCAATCGACATATAATAAGAATTGCTTCTGCAGATCATGAACACTTTTATAGGGTAAACTAACCAGTGAAGGAATACTTAAGCTTCGCTTGCCTTTCAAAAAATCATATTAATTTTAAAATTCGTAATTTTAGTTAAATGACAGTGCCAACATATTTGTTACTAATTGCAAATTATGTAAAAAAAATTGTAGAGAACTTACATAATATTGTTTTAAAGTTTTGGAGGTTCAAATAACAAGTAGTAAGAAGACCAAGTGAAGGAACAGCTCTTACCAGTGAATGAACACCCAGTAAAGGAACACTTAATTTTGGTTATTTTTTAATGCTCTTTATGAATTTATAAGCCATACAAATATTTAAAAACAAGCCTATTCTTGAAATTATAACATATAAATACTTGGAAAATGTTAACTTTTTTTTGTAATCATGAATTGAAAATTAAAGTGTCAACATATTAACACATACTGTTCATTCACTGGGAAATCTATGCCCAGTAAAGGAACATGCCTGTTCCCTCACTGGTTAGAAGTTGTTTTTCGTATTTTTAACATACTTTTGATGCGGAACATCACTAAAGGTACAAGAAAATTAAAGTTTATCTTTTATTTTCATTAACTTAGAAAAAAAACCAGTAAAGGAACACTTGTTCCTTCACTGGTTTTTCATCGTTTGATATCCAGTGAATAAACACCCCCTTATCTCAGTACTTTATTATGCTATGATGCTTAAAAAAATAAAACATAACTTCAATAACTATATTTTGAATTCTCTCGTTCACAGTGAGAAAAATAAGACTATTACATGCAATTAATTCCACTTCAAACATATAAATACAAGCACTCACCTTATAATTTTTTCAACGAAACAAGGTGTTGCAGAGATAATAACAAATTCAAATATTTCTCCAGAGAAGTCTATTTGACCAAGTAATCCAAAGCATTGCTAGATGACTTCCTATTGTTTGGCAGTAAGCTATTGTTACCAATCAATGTAAAGAAAAACTTTCAAATTCTTATTTTTAATCAATATATATGAAATGTTCCTTCACTGGGTAGTGTTCCTTCACTGGTTGGTTTACCCTATATGGGTTTTCAACTGATCCCGTTTACCTTCGTGCATTGTTCAAGAAGCGGAAATGGGTAAAAAGTGTGGTACTCTCAATACCTTTTCAATACTCAATACTTATACCTAGTACTCTCAATACTTTTATTAGTTTATACTTAAAATATTTTCAAGAGCGTGCTTTGTTCAAGAAACAGAAGTGGGTAAAATGTGTAAGTAATCTACTCTCCAATTTTATTTCCATAATAATGAGAAAATGAGCTTTAATTTATACTATTTTATAAGGAGTTTCAATTATTACCTAGTACTTTCAATACTTTTATTAGTTTATACTTAAAATATTTTCAATCTCGTTGTTTAGTGATTTTATTTAATTTAGTTCTTAATTAAGTTCTTTTCAAAAACTGTTTTATTTTAATATCTAAGGAATATTGCAACAAGTTAATGAACAAAATCAATAGCACAAATCATTAAGAAACAATATTTAAATTTGGTTTAAATGTGTGTATATATATTATTGATGTCTTATTTTAAATTTAAAAGCAGTTTAGTTAAGTTAATTTTCCAAATTAAACTAACCAGTTTCAAAAACTATCGATTTTGTATTTGTTAACATTTTTGAAAATAATAGGGTATCTAAACCCCCTTAGTTATTCTTCAATAAGTCGAAGTAAATGTCAGAGGCGAATAAAAACAAATGTGACATGTAAGCAATTCTTTATTGCACTTTTCAGTACTTACGCATTATCCCATAGACCATTTAAGCCAAATCAGAAAATAAGATTGGAAATAATTGAAATTTAAATATTATCTTCTTTTTTGCATGCAATAAATAATATTTGCATTTTATCAATGTCTTTATAATCAATTACTATATTAAAATTAATTTTAAAGCTACCAAAATAACTTCGGCATAATGTTGGGGAAATAGTCGCGGGATATTTCGTAAATGCTAATTTTCTTACGGACTTCTTTTTACATATTTAAATTCACGATTAACATTAGTACTTAGAAGCTATTGAATTTTTTTTTAAATTCTTGCAATTTTGTGTAGTAAATTTACTGCGATTTTAACCAAAGATAAACCTTATATTAAACATTAAGAAAATGTACATATTTTCCGACTGAAAACAATTACAATTTTTAAAATTTTTTATTTTCTACCAGATTAGGTGATTTTCATCAGATTATAAACAAATTTAATAAACCTATTCTTAAAACACAAATTAAGATTAATATAATGCATAATGAAGTGAATGATATCCTCTTTATAACTAAGGAATATTATGTATTGGACACAACAACTCAAGAAAAAAAATTTAATTTGTGTTTTTTCTAAACATTAATATACGAAAGCTGGTGACAGAAACACTTTGTAGTTCAAGAACAACTGAATCTTCCTTATTTAACTCTTATTTCTTAAGAATTTCAAGAAATAAGGATTTTATATATAATATTCAAATTAAAATAGTAAAATCTACCGGAAAATTTAAAATCCAATGCTTTTATAAGTTAAAAGAAATCGCATACTATTAAGAGAAATCGCAAGAAAAAACTTCCATTTAACATTTTTTAAATACTGTTTTCATATGGTTAAAAAATTTAAAATAATCGCAATAAATTTACCAAGATTTATAGAGATTCAACTTGAAAACAATACTGTAAGAATATAAATCATTAAAAGGTTTTTGTTTTACATAAATCGAGGAATTTTGAGCTAAAACTGATTCTGCTTGATTTAGTTTAAGGTCAATTTAACATAAGTTTTGGCAATAAGGAATAGTTAAATTAATTTAAAGTTAAAACTGCAAAAAAGCATGTGGGATTTTAACAAAATGACATTTGGATCCAGAAACCTAAATGTTGTTTCGTAAAATTTCAAAAATCGGAAAAATTTAATATTAAGAACTGTTTGTAGTAGTATTTTTCCCAAAAGGAAATTTTTTAACATCTGTTTGCATTTATAACGTTTTAAATTTTAATATTTTCATCAAAAAGTTAGATTTTGTTGCCAAAAAAAA